GGCTTTCGTGAGTAACTTAATCCTTCTCAAATTCAGTTTCCTCATCTGCTGCAGGAGGTAATTATATCTATACCCTTGGATAGCAGTGAGGGTTAAATGAAATATTGTGGAAAGCACTTTGAAAGCCATATATTTTCTGTGCATATAAAAAACGTTATTCAGACTACCAATGAAATAACATCGACTCAAGTTTTCCTAATTATGCATTGGCCCTACAATCATGTTGAACCTCATACCTGCAGGTGCTGATGGTGGCTCCAGCAGTGCTGGTGTTGGTAGGTACTCAATAAACCATATGGAGGCAGGAGGCAGGGAGCTTCCGTACCTGTCTATGATCCAGCACTGCCGTCTCTAAGGCAGTGGTTCTTAGGCTTCAGTGTGCATCAGATTCACTGAATGGTGGTGAAAACCCAAACTGCTGGGCCTTACCTGCAGAGTTTGATTCCGTAGGTCTAAGATGGGCTTGAGAATCTGCATTTCTAACAAGTCCCCTAGTGGTGTTGAAGCTGCTGATTCTAGCATCAGACTTTGAGAACCCACCACTCTAAAGCATGGCTTACCATCTGCCTATCTACCTTGGTTGGGTAAATTTGTTTCATGGATGTTCCTATGTGGGAGAAAGCTAAGGTTAATAGAAAAAGTGTTACACAGTACTCTAAAGTGGTACTTTGCAAAACATAATGGGCCTACAACTTACCTAAGAATGTTGTTATAAGTGGATTTTACTTCATTAGGCCTAAGGTGGGCCCCTGATTCCCAGGTGGTGCTTGGACTACTCGTTCACTGACTACGCTCTGACTGATAAGGCTGAACAGTGCAGCTCATGGCTGTGCCTTCGCTTTCTTTAAAAAAGAAAATGGATATTTTTGAATTTATGACTAAATATGTCAAGTTTTCTGCTCTCTGCTACTTGTCTGCTCCTCAAAGTTGACAGTGAGTTCAACCCTATAATAACCAAATTTCTTTTAAAAATTATATTATTTAATAACAGATTTGAAGAAGTTTACAAAAATATATATGAAAATACATACATAACTTCTGCTCTACATCTATGGCAGGGCTGTCCAAGGCCACAGACATTTGGCTTCCCTGGGCCACATTGGAAGAAACTGTTTTAGGCCACACATAAAATACACTAACACTAATGATAGCTGATGAGCTAAAAAAAAAAAAAATCACAAAAAGACTCAATGTTTTAAGAAAGTTTATGAATTAGTATTGGCTGCATTCAAAGCCATCCTGGGCCACAGGCAGATTGACAAGCTTGCTCTATGACTTCTGGATGCAAAAGAAGACTACTTCATGAGAGGGAACGCAGCAGTACTATTTTTCCCCTGTTAATTTTAGGTGACACATAATAATTATACATATTATGCAGTAGAGGAGTGATATTCCGATACATGTATGCAGTGTGTAATGATCAAATCAGGATATTTAGGCTATCCATCATATCAAACATTTCTTATTTCTTTGTGTTGGGAACCTCTCCTCTAGCTGTTTGAACGTATACAATAAATTATTAACTATGTTCACCCTGCAGTGCTATAGGATGCTAGAACCCATTCTTCCTATCTAGCTATAATTTTGTGTCTGTTAACCAACGTCTTCCTATTTTCCAGCTTCTAATATGAACAATTCTACTCTCTTTCCATGAGCTCATTTTTCTCATTAGTGAGAACATGTGGTATTTATCTTTCTGTACCTATTTTAACATAAGTCCACCATGCTTATCCATGTTGCCATGAATGACAACATTTCATTCTTTTAAATAACTGAATAGTACTCTATTATGTGTGTGTGTACAGCAGTTTCCTTATCCATTCATCTGTTGATAATTTAGGTTGATTCCATATCTTGGCTGTGGTGAATAATACTGCAAGAAACATGCAGGAGAGCAGAGCTATTGACCAATCATTTAAAACACCTGGTGAATTAAATCATCAGGGAAAAATCCATTCTCTTTAAGATTTAAAAAATGTTCTCCTATATTTTTGCATTTTTGGTTGGGGGGCTGGGGGAAAACTATTTCAGAGGCAGAACTGTTAGAATTTGTCAACGATTTGAAGAAATAAAAATAAAACAGAAAACCAGTGACAAATTTCAAAGATTAATGAAATTGATGTTAGTGCATTTATTCAAAGGAAGGAAGGAATTAGTAAGGGCAAGCAGGCTTCGGGGAGAAAGAGGGGTAGATTAATAAGCTGTAATTAATATTGTTTGCAGCTCCTTTATGGCATCTCCTTGGACCTTTCCAGTAAACAGTTGGAAATGTGGGAACGTGGCTCAAGGAAGCCAAGGGAGAAGAGGATATCAAGGAATATCAGATGTGCTCATCACTGCCAAATGCTGCTTATGTAATGATACATGTGGATTAAACACTGGAACTTATACACAATTATACAAGTTAATAAGCAGCCCTCAAAACAGCAATTTTGGTAGACTAGTGATGTTAAAGTTCAGAGTTAGGGAATGAGATAGCAGTGGTAGCAAGGCACTGGAAAATTGGTCTCACTCTTTCTAGATAGATGATGAAAAACAGAAAACATTAATAAGGAAAGAATCTTAAACTAAAGCACATCAAAGTCACCTGGAGAACTTGTTATACACAGATTGTGGGGGCTCCACCTCAAGTTTCTGATGCTGTTGGATGGACATGGAGGCCAAGAATTTGCATTTGTAACATGTTTCCAGTACTGAGGCAGCTAGTCTGGGGACTACTCTTTGGAAATCATTGATTTCAATCACTGTATTTTCATTCAAGGCCAGATTATTCTTAATTGTGTGGAGTTTTCCTGTGCTTTATGAGATGTTTGAAAACGTATTTAAACACTAGATACCAATAGCACCCCTGTGTTGTGACAACCAAAAATGTTTCTATGCATTACCAAATGTCCCCTGAGGGTGAAAACTGCCTGCAGGTGAGAAAACTGCTTTGGATGACCCCAAAAATCACGAGTGTCTGCAAGCAGATCCCGAACACCAGAGTGGGGCTTGGTCTAGAAAATGAAGATACATGTGAAACAACAGAACAGAGCCTCCAGGGTCGGTCATCTATACTCCTCGAAATTACATGATCAGGTTATGAGTGAGGGCTCAGTTTTTAGCTTTTAATGAATTAATCCCAGAAAAATCAAATTAGAACTCACCTCTACTGGAATTTCAGATTGCTTTCAAGTTTCTGAGTCCTGGAGCCCTGAAAAGCAATGCTCTCCAATTCATGAATGTCCCTTTGTCTTTTAAAAGACATGCTTCCTGGATCACTGCCTCACTTATATTTAAGTGTCCTCAATTATAACTTCCTTATTCCGAAGGCCCTGCCATTTGTTTAACAAGCAATGTTCTGCACCAGGTGGGCAAGTTTAAATATTCCATGCTCAGAAAAGAAGTTTTTTGAAAGAAGAAAAATACACTGGGACTTTGTAAATTTTTACGAATCCAGATCTTGCAACTATGGGCCTTCAGACCTTTCAGCCGTGAATGTTAATGAAGATGAAGGCCCTAATCCCCCTCAGTACACTTACTATTAAGGCCTTGTCACTCAAATTGTGGAACCAGGACAAGCAGCATAGGCATCACCTGGGAACTGGTTAGAAATGCAGCATCTCAAGCCCCACTCCAGATCCATTAAATCAAAAGCTGCATTTTAACAAGATTCCAGGTGCTTCCCATGCACATTAAAATGAAAAGCAGTGGGTAAGAGTCTTGAAATCCAGCACGCTTCCAGAACCTTCAAAACACCACCTATTTATTCAGAACAGCAATTTTGTGTTTATATGACTTTGATAAATGTCCACCTCCCTCTTGAGATTGAAACACTAAAGGGAAAATCTCCCACTGTCGGACCCTAGAGGCCCCCTCTCCTCCCTTACACGTCAGTATTTGAAAATCTGCTGACTAAATCCATGAACTACACCCTGGAATCTCATCGTTACCTGCTCCTCCTAACCCACAACCTCAAATAGGTTTCAGAAGAGGTTTAACTTCTTAATTAACATACTAAGAAAACCTGAACTTTCTCAGATCTCTGAGGGATGATTATGAAGGATCTCCGAGATAAGTTATTCCTTACTTTTTGCTTGAATTATGTATTTATCCAAGATTTTGTCCCCAGCTAAGAGTTCTCTGCATATTGGAAAGAGAGAAACTATTGAGTATATTCTCTATAATTCTGCATGAGGACTAATTTTTATTCTTGTATAATTTTAAAAATTCTCTTTGTTGTAGTTGTTTTCTCAATCAGGAAAGGTTATTGGAGTACGAGTAAAGTGTTATAAATTAACAAAATTACTAGTAAAAAAAAGACTTCAAATTCACATATTTGTATATTTACTTATAGCTTAATCTGTCTTTCCATAATAGAATTGAAAGCACCTGGGCACAGTAGCGCACACCTGTAATCCCAAGCACCTTGGGAAGGTGAGGTGGGAGGATAGCTTGAAGCTGGGAGTTGAACACCAGCCTGGGCAACAGAACAAGACCCTGTCTCTACAAAAAAAAAATAAAAAAATTAAATATAAAAAATTAGCCAGGTGTGGTGGCATGTGCCTGTAGTCCCAGTTACTTGAGAGGCTGAGGTCAGAGGATTGCTTGAGCCCAGGAATTTGAGGCTGCAGTGAGCTATGTTCGCACCACTGCACTGCAACCTGGGAGACAGAATGAGACCTTGTTGCAAACAAACAAACAAAAAAGAATTTAAAGCAAACGTTTACAACGAAATGATAATGAAACATGACTAAAGCAATTCACTAAGGCATGGCATGGCATGGGTTTTAGTGATCTTCTGATATCTTTTCCTGTTCATACTGATTTAAAAAAGAAAAAAAAAGTGTCTCATGTTTTATAACCTAGAAAGTGTAATACCACAGGCAATGTCTTTGTTCCCACCATCCAAACAGTAAAACGGATTCTACTATGACTTTTGTGAAACATCATTTAACTACCTCAATGCTTTATTCCAAGTCAGTAAAAACAAAACTCAAAAAACAAGAATAGACAACTGGTATTACTAACAGTGTTTTTATTTACAAAGAATTGTTTTTATTTGGCCATTTGGAAAACCACTAACATTTTTTACTTTAGAAAACATTAAATAATAAACAAGATGTTATACAGTACTTTGGATAACTTCTTCCATCAGTTTAGTGCAATGCATCATTGGCACCAAAAAGTAAAATTTTCATTTATTTTCCCCTTTCACCTTCAGTTGTGCAGTTATATGACCATAAAGGAAATGAATCATTAAAAATGGATCTACAGCCATATATTCTGCCGTTACTCAAAGGCTTAATGATTTATTTTCCCCCCTCCAGCCCTGCCTTTACCAGGTTAAATGACAAAAGACCTTTTATTGTACCTATTGTTCAAAAAATATTACTGTTCTGTGGAACCTGGGAGAGTCCAATTAGTAAGGGAAACTGAATCATACTGATAAGGTGAAGGAAAGGTCTGCCGGTGTGGGGCAGGGCACTCTTTCTCAGCAGCCAAGTAACTTGTCACACATGAAGCAGAGAGAATGCACCAGATGAAAATCTCTCTGAACTGTGTTCCTTGAAGGATCTCTTAAAAAAAAAAAATCGGAAACATCATCCATTGAACAAATGAAAGGTTTACACCTTTACCATGAAGAAACATTTAAAACTACCACCACACTAGGACATTACTGAGATACTAAAATATCTGTCCATCATACTCTCATTTGGAATAAATAGTTTCCTTTTTTCTTCAATACTGCTAGGATTGCCATAAGGGAGAGACATTTCAGTGAGCTCAGCATTTGGTGGGCTCTTTGCCTTTCAATCCCTCTCCATCAGGAGGTCAAGGGGAAATGCCCAAATTAAGCCTTGTCCAGATTACTTAGTTCTAAAGATTTTCATTGTATACTACTAGTAGGATCAAAACATCTTTTGGGAAATTCTATAATTTGTTACTTTACCTTGGTGTAAGAACATCTTTAACCATCTTAAATAGATAAATTTTTATCTAATTTTTTAAAAGGAGAAAGAGAGATACTGAGATTTTCATGCTTCTTTTTTTTATGAAGTATTCTAATTTAACAATGGCCCCCAAGAAATGCTCCCTTATACTCTAGTCTAAGCCCGTTTCCTTTTGTTCTATTCTTAGTGCACATGGAGAACAGCTGGTCACCATCCTCTCTGTGCCAACCCTTCATATACTTGAAAACCATCAATGGTTTGCCCCTCAGTCTTCTCTTCTCCAGGCTGAATCATCCCAGTTCCTTTAATTTTTCATCATAGATCTTTTTTTCCAACCCTTTAATCATCTTTGTGATTCCTGGCAAAAACAGCAGAAAATATTTTGATTACTTAATAGGAAATTAAGAAAAACCTCAGGAATAATGCCTTTAAAAGGTACATTGTTTTTTAATATATAGGTAAAAATATGCAGGGAGGAAATACAGTTGGGGGTTCATGGATCTTAGAATTCCAACTTGCCCTGCTCCTCCAGTGTGTGTTAATCCCATTCCAACACATCCCATGCCTCTGAGCATGAGACTTGCTTCCTATCCTATCCTGACATAGCTACAAGCAACAGAAGTTATGAACTACAACTGCCTAAACTTTCATCTATTTCAAATGTTGTGTGAAAATCTGTTCCAATGGAGTTTTCCCAATGCTTCCTCTCACCCTGCTTTAATAAACAGGATCCTTTTTCTGAATCAACCAAAACTTTTATAAAGCTTCCTACATATTACCAGAGAGAGCCATGTTATGATGGTAAAAGCTGTAGTTTTAAAGTGTAACTTGGAACAGTGAGAGTTTTATGTATTAACTGCAGTTTCTTGTCTTCCTAAAGGTTTCCTATCCTTTGCAGAGATCAAACTCAAGGCCATTAAAAAAAAAAAATTTCATCACTCTGCTACCACAACCCAACACTTCTGCCAATTTCCTACTGCTGCCAATATAAGGTCATGGAACTGGATGACATTTCACCATGTATTTTTTAACTTGAGATCACAAGCTGCCCTTTACCTTGCAACTGGAGTCTGTAAATATTTGGAACACGTAAATACTTAATATCAATAGCACATTTACATAAAACACAATACTACTAATGAGGGATTATGTGTCCACTCTACATAATTGTCTTTAACAGAAAAAAAAAACAGATAAAAATAAATGTATCTTGATATATTACACACCCTTATTTTATAAAGTGAGTGGCAGTAAAAGTCAGAGTTCAGGTCAGGCCAGAACTAACTTAAGTGAAGAGGGTAAGTCAATTTCACAAGCACATTATACATCATATCTCAAGGGAAGTCAATACTACTCATGGTACAACACCGAACAGATAACATCATAGCCATTTGCAAAGATTTTGTTTAAAAACTGCTCCCATAACTCACTCCCATAATTTGCTACTAGGAGCACCTTGTAATCAGGATGGAGGATGGTATGGGTCACGCATGCTGAAGGCCTTCCTGAAAGAGACACAGGATGGAAGGCAACACCCACAGATGGCTTTGATGTGTCTATGATGCCCCTGTATTTCAAGGGGGGTGTCACTGTTCATTGGGATTGCACAAAAGCAGGCCAGCAAAACCTGGGTCACCAAATAGACTTCCTCCTGACCCACTGACCCACTCTTCTCCTAGGCCTGACAAAAGGGAGAAGAGGAGAGAAGATAGGAATTGGAAAAAGAGGATGGAGCAACATAGGAGTTCATTGCTGGTTCTGGAGTTGTTAGCGTTCTTCAGAGCAGGGGCCTTTTTTCAAGCTCACATCATCCAATCCAATCTCCCCAGTGTGACCACGCCTTTTTTCACCTTTGAAGATGACCTAGGGAGAGAACGCACACACCAGTCAAGCCTCCTCTGCCCCTTTCTAATGCCTCCTTATTAAGCAAAAATAAAGGCAAACCTTCCCCCAAACCAATTTTAAACTTATTTTACAGGAGGAAAAAAACAGAATATAGTTGCCAGTATCACTGAAGTTTTCAGTAGAAACGGAAATCATCAAACTGTTCATCAGACCACATTACTCAGAATCAATTACTCTTTAAAAAGCCATTCTAAGCCCTGTAATCCCAGCACTTTGGGAGGCCAAGGCGGGTGGATCAGGAGGTCAGGAGATCGAGACCATCCTGGCTAACACGGTGAAACCCCGTCTCTACTAAAAATACAAAAAACTAGCCGGGCGTGGTGGCGGGCGCCTGTGGTCCCAGCTCCTCGGGAGGCTGAGGCAGGAGAATGGCGTGAACCCGGGAGGCGGAGCTTGCAGTGAGCTGAGATGGCGCCACTGCACTCCAGCCTGGGCGACAGAGCGAGACTCCGTCTCAAAAAAAAAAAAAAAAAAAAGCCATTCTAAGCTACACACCAATTTGATTTAGGATTGTTTATAAAGTGGACACTTGTCAAGGATTACCAAAGTTAGAAGAAGAGTGTGATGGAATATAAAGGAACAGATATTAGGAGCCAAAGATCTGAAAGATCATAATCACACAGCCTATCTTAGATGTTTCTTAGTTCTTTTTTGGTTAACATAGCTTTCTTGCTGAAAATGGAATAGAATCAAACACCATGATCCAATCACACTGTTGTTTTACCTATGTAAAACCTAAAAACTTTTATTGTTCTTACATTATATTTTCTATAGAGCATCCTTGCTCCTTATAAAACAAGAGAAAACCTGAGTGCTATGATTTAAAATGATTTATTATCTTGTTTTAGTTCTCTAAACAATAAAAATACTGAGAAAAGTTTTAAGAAAAAATATATAAGAATTAAACAAAATCCAAGTACTCTGGTAAAAACTGTATTAATGGAATCTATCTTTTCTTTCTAAAATAGTTTCTTATAAACTATACCTATATATAGGCATAGGTATCTCCCAACAGCAAGTTTCATAAGCACCAGCATAAAGATGACATTTTCCCAAATGCATTCATGATTTTGCTGGGATGCCGTAGACCATTTTCTTGCTACCTATGTCTTGATTACTTAAGATCAAATTTATATATTCCATCAAAGCACTTCCCACATCCTGTCCCGAATAGAGTAGTGCTTTCCAATTGTAGTTCTGAGTTCCCACCCTATGCTGCTTAACTGTGATCTCTGAAAAAAAGAAAAAAAGTTGAACTCGAAAGAAACATTTGAAAAACGAAAAAAGAACCATCTCCTGGGTAATTTATGGTAGTAAAAGTTTGAAATATAAGGAATTAAAAGGAAAGGGAAAACAGGAACAATTAAGCTCACCACGCCACTCTTGGAAGTTTCTGTTGATCAACTTAAAAAAACAAAAACAAAAACAGAAAAAAACATTTCTATTCCTAGATTTTTCTTTTCCATTCAAAAAAAAAAAAAAAAAAAAAATGGATCTTTACCAGGGTTATGGAGAGGTGGTGATCACAGGTTGCAATGAAGAAGGATGAAACAGCAGAAAGGGGTTTCAGAAAGAGACGCTGAATGGAGTCATCAGGCCCAGAAAAAAACCCAAACCTTTGTCTGAGCCTGAATTTACAGAGCAAGGCTTCTTCCAGTTCAGATTCCAGAGTTCTCCTATGAAAGGAAAACATCCCAGGTCCCGCCTCCTTTGTGGATCTACTTACGCTCTTGATGTCAGCCCCTCGCAAGGTGATCTGTGTCTGCCTCCAGCCATGGCCACCATTTCTTCCCCACAGGGCTGCTCCGTGGGCACTGTGTTTTCTCACAAACACCTGGAGTGTGCCAGAGTGCAACCCCGTCACCTTGTGCCTGAACGATAGGCACAGGTCCCCTGAATGCATGAGGCGGCCGAGAGGTAGCACCAAGCGTGCAGCTTTTCCCCCTGGGGCTTTGGCTGCCGACACTGTCAGATACTGTCCACCTGGAATGGGAAAAGCAGGGCTGTGTGTATGTGCCAATATCCCTTTCTAGAACAAGCAGCATGGACAGGAATTTTAGTTTTTTTGTTTTCTTTGCAAAGAATTCCAGATTTTTGAAGAAGAAAAATATGACTTATTTGTATGCCTGAAGTTCTATGGTATGTGTTTACAGAAAACATTCACTTACTTTGCTCATGGAAAGCAGAAGTAATGCCAGAGACACACAATAATTAGTAATCCAAACACTATGAATATTTCCAATTGAATATGATCAGACATATAGGCATACAACAACATATACACATTCACCACCTTCTGACCCTCACCAATTTATGATTATGTTGTCCAACACCCCTGCCTATCTGGCTTGGTGGTTTGGTAAAACTGACCCTAAATTTCCAGGGAGAATTTTCTGGTGGATGATTAACTCCAGACAGTAAAGCAGATGGTGATTTAAAGGGCCCTATATCTGCTTATTCTCTCCTCCTCCAACTTAAAAAAATTTCTAAATGTAAAAGTTCTTTAAAAAAAAAAAAATCAGAGTTGGCAGTGCTTCTTACACTGGTGTAAACCTAACAGCAGGAAGATACAGAAGTATTCAGGAAACCCTCCATGTCTTCCTGGAGCATCAATTTTATTTGGAGGTAAGCCATTTAAAACATTTTTATAATAAAACAAATCTATATCGTATCTATTCTATAAATATGTCCTATTATATATACATGAACACAAATATTAGTAAAAACTTTCACTTTAGATAGACCACTTTGATGATGTTCTCAGATCCCTAGGACTACAGAGTTTTCTTCCCTCTGCTGTTAAGGAAACTGCATTTTAAAAAATGGTTAAGCAGCAGTGAAGTGGGGGGTGCTGCTTCTCCAGAGAGAGGAAGTTGCAAGTAGTATTTTGAAGCTTGATCCATGTACAAATGACATTCCCTCAGGCTGTTTTATCTCACTTAACTGAAAACACACTGTATGTTTCAACACTGGTTTTTCCATAGAAAAATGGTTGGAATGTTGAACACGTGTATCTATTTTGGTAGAAATCCCATTTAGTTTTCAGTTAACAGATAAACTATTATCTCTTTCTTATGCTTAATTTATACAAGACCTGATAAAATTTGGTATATCTTTTTATTCCAGTGTCTTCTTCTCTAACAAGTACCATCTGAGCTCTACAGGTCATAGGTGATTTCTCTGCACTGACTATGTGCCAGCCTCTGTGCTAACGGCTCCCCAGCAGGTTGTGAACAACAAGTCTGAACCAAAGTTTCCCCCAAACCTCTGTGTTACCCTGCTAGCAGGAAGCAGGTGTTTAAGGATGTTTGAATCAACGAATGATGTTCCAAGGATACAGCAAAAACTGCAAGGAAAGAGATCCTTGACTGACATACTTGAATCACTAAAAATACATAATGTCTTAAGAATCCTTCTCCCACTTCCCTTGTCCCCTTCCTCCACAAACTAATCCAAACATACTTTGGGCCAAAATATTTACATGGATTTTAAAAGTCTCACTATAAGTCAGCTTTTGAATCATCACAGGTACTTTAGTTAAAACTAAGATATAAGGTTATTACAGTTAACCTGCAAGTTTTGAGAAAACAAGGATTAAGTCCCTGTGGAATGTACACTGATACTATTCTGCCAGATGCTACCTGCAAACAAGACAACCTAACACACCAAGGTATTCTTTGCATATGTATTTAAAACTCTAAAATTTACAACATGATAAGTGAGGTTACGATTGTTCTTCCTCTATAGAGCTACTCTATGGGCACCAGGTTTTGCTTTTGCTTTTTTTTGCCATGAAGAATTCATTCCCTTTGTAACAAAGGAAATGATACAAGTTGGAACATTAACTAAGGGAAAAACTGATTCAGTGTCAAGCAAGTTACCTATTAAAATTTTCACTTCTGATTTCATAATTCTGGTGATAAATATATGATTATATTAAACATTCATTCAGTTTACAGTATCACAACATCTAAAGCATTTTGGGGAGGGAGGGTAAATAATAGATGCTGCAAAACTTGACCAGAAAGTTGGGTTATAAAATGGTAGTTTGTTTATTTTTAATTCTGTAGTGGTTGGTGCCTTTAAATTTTCAATTTACTAAATCTAGAGGTATTTGTGAAGGTTTTGACTTCTGAACTTTTCTTATGTAATACATTCACACAAATGCACATGAATATGAACTTTTTTTTAAAAAAGGAATACTATATTTGCAGTGTTGTAAGTTGCTTCTTGTATAACCATTTTTCTATGGTAGCAAATACACTTTGCATTGCTGCAAGTATGCCAATAACCATTTAGCCAATTTCTTACTGAAGAACATTTAAGTTTCCAAATTTGTATGTTAAGATAAAAAATACCATAAAATAGACAAACAAAAATGTTTTTAAATATTTGCAATACATTAAAAAAGGATAATTTTTGTATAGAAAATTTTCATATATCAATAAAAATATTAAAAATAAAGAACATCACAGAAAAAATGACAAATATATGAAAAAGTCATCAACTTTTCACAATAAAAGAAATGTAAAGTAAAATTAAAAGAGATCCCTTTTAACCTATAAGATTGGCAAAGATTTTGAAAATACTTTTATAATATATGTTGGGGATGGTTTTCAAATATTGTAGGCAGAAGTGTAAATTGCTGCAACCTTTATAAAGGGCAATTTAATAAAATCTATCAAAATTCAAAATACAAATTCTCTTTTGACATAGCAATTCCACATTTAGGAATTTATAGATACAGTCTAGCATGTATTAAATAATGAATGTACAGGGTTTTTCACTGCACTATTGTCTGAACTACCTAAAGTCTTGAAACAACTTATGTTCCTTTGTGGAGGGCTGGCTAAATACATTGTGGTACATCTGATGAGTAATGGAATAGCAGCCAGCCATAAATAAGAATGTCCTCTATGTGCTGATAGAGGACATGCTTCAACCACAATGGCTAATACTATTTTAGCGGTAACTCTGGACGAGGCACTGCTTGAAATGCCTTATATATGTTTAGTGGATAGTACTGATTATCCCTGTTTAAGTAACTTGCTCAAGGCCAAAGCTAGTATGTGGTGGTGCTGGGTTCCAGACCAGGTATTCTGGCTTCAAAGTCCATGTTGTTCCTGTTGACTCTTGAGATAATATCAGTAAGTGACAAAGGCAAGGCACGAAGAGAATGCCATTGCATCCAAAAATATCTCTCTGGGAACATAATCAAGAAACTGGCTCCATCTTGACAGGTGGTGAATGGGAGTCAAGGATGGTAGAAAGCTTTCACTGATATTGTTGATTTATTTTACATTTACGTATATTTTAAAATAATGTTTTAATGCTGAAACAGACATACTTGTATGTACATGCTGGCATACTTGATACATATGTAAGCAAATTCCTTGTAGCTATCAGTGGCAGACAGAGTGCTGAGTCAGTTGCCCTTAATCCTTGTTCTCCAGAGATCAAGGTTCCAGGAAAAGGGGCTTAGTTCTGGCTTTGACACACACAGGAGAAGGGTGTGTCCCCAGGGCCACAGCTACATACCTGCAGCATATCACCATGTCTGTCAACAGCACAATTTTCCATTTCTTAGAGGCATTGTTAATTTCACATCTCACTGTGACTGAATGTAATAAAACCTAATAGCACCATGAAAGGCAGCTAGCAAATTGCACTTATTTTGCAGCTGTTTCTAAAGGGTGTGAGTTTTGAGAGTTTTCTTGGAAATATTAACATATAAGAATATTTACAAATCTGGATCTTGGATTAGAACTGCACAGCATTAAAATCATCCATAATTGGATATCCAAACATATATTCTTTTATAAATGGTATAATCTAGATAGACACAGGTAAACAATTAGCTTGGTAATTAGAATAATACACAGAAATTATTTATTTATTTATTTATTTATTTATTTATTTATTTATTTATTTATTT